TTTTGCTGGCTTCTGGTGATAAGTCATTTTATCCTAACCTGAACAGTTTTAACTGCAGAGCTAGGGAGGCTGTGTTGTGTTCAACAAAATAAATGCAGTAGTTCCCCCTTAAATGTAGGAGATACATTTCAAGACTCCCAGTAAATGCCTGAAACCACAAATAGTACTGAATCACATACCATTTTTTTTCTGCACATATATATCTATGATAGCATTTAATTTATAAATTAGGCACAGTAAGAAATGAGCAACAATAACTCATAATAAAATACATTGTTATGGTTCTCACCCTTTTTCCTGTGATGATGTGAAGTGATACAATGCTTGTGTAATGAGATGAAGTGAGGTGAATGAGGTAGGCATCGTAATGCAGTGTTAGGCCACTATGCACCCCCTGAATCTAACTCAAAAAAAATGTTTATGAGCTGTGAGTGACTCTGGATCTTCAGGCCTTAATGATGTTGATAGCTGGCAACAGAAGGAGACCGTGTTGATGACTGATGGGTGAACAGCATATGCAGTGTGGATGTACTGAACAAAGGGAGAATTCACATCCTGGTCTGGATGGAGGGGCTCAAGGTTTCATCACACTTCTCAGAATGGCACACTAAAACTTATGACATGTTTATTTCTTAAGTTTTCCATGTCGTATTTTTGGAATACAGTTGACTATAAGCTGTAACCACAGAAATAAAAACTGTGAATGTAAAATCTGTGTTTGAACATTGACTCATTTCTTGGTGTACAATTCTTAAAATCGTTAGAACTTGCAAACTGATGTCTTTTTGTATGCTAGTGATTGATGGCCAGATGCCCCTATGTAGATTCATGATGGCAACTGGTCATTGTCGTGAAGACATTGATTAGAGGGTTGAGGTCTCCTGTCTCACTCTGCAGACTCTGGGGTGAAGAGAAAACCTGAAGGTGTTCAGTCACCAGTGGCCAGTGGTTTACTTAATCAGTGGTGCATATGTAATAAAGTTTTCATAAAGACCCAAAGGGACTGGGCTTAGAGAACTTCCAGTTAGCTGAATACGTTGAGGTTCCTAGAGGATGGTGTATCCTGGGAGGGCATGAAATCTTAATCCCACTTCCCCCACACTTTGCACTATGCATCTCTGCATCTCTTCATCTGTAACTTTTGTAATGTCATTCATAGCAAACTGGTAAATGTGTTTCTCTGAGTACTTTGAGCCATTCCAGCAATTCTGTTTAACCCAAAGAGGGAGTCTTGGGAATCTCAATTGAACCCTAAATTGAAGCCAGTTGGTCAGAAGTTCTGGAGTTTCAAACTTAGGACTGATGTAGGGAGGCAGACTCATGGGGCTGAGCCCTTCACCTGTGGAATGATGCTGTCTGCAGATAGAGTATGAGAACTGAATCAGAGGACACCCAGCTTGTATCATCTGCAGAAATGATTGCTTGCTTGCTGGTGGGGAAAAACCCTCCCCACGTTTGATCACTGAAGCCTTCTTTGTTGATGATTGTTTCTGTGGTGTAAGAGCAGAGAAAAACATGGCAAGTATGTCTTATCCATACAGATCATGGATAAGGGAACTACTCTATACTCTTTTTTAACTGCTCTTCATATTTTGGGTCAGAAATCATGCTCTTTGACACTGGTCACTCATCACACCTGTTCTGATAACAATACCATTTTTAGTCAATCACATATTGTTTGTCTAAGATGACTTGTATACTGCAGTTCACTTGTAGATATCAAATTTTGATAAATTTATTCTTTGCATTTAATAAATACGAAGTAAGGGAAGTAAAAGTTCTTACTTCACTAATCACATACCAGTAGGTATAATTTATATTAATTCTAATAAGATCTCAGGTATGTTCCCAAAGGAATGTTTTGTAACAAAGCATCAGTCCTATAAAGAAAAATGGTCTAAAGCATGCACACAAGTGTGCATAATTTTTTTTGTGTGAAGGTAGGGTCTTGTTATGTTTCCCGAACTGGTCTCAAACTTCTGGGTTTCTCAAGTGATCCTCCTGCCTCAGTTTCCCAAGTAGTTGAGATTAAAGGCATGCATGACTGTGCCTTCTTATGTTTTTAATATTCTATATATTTATTATTGATTTACAATGCACTTTACCTTTTCCTTTAATAGATTCTGGGAGTTCTGATGAATCTGCAGTCAGGTAGGATTTTACATATTTAAAAATTTCTATTAACTAAGGAAATACAGATGGAAGAAACTAATATCGGTTGAGTGTTGTATTCTGGGCTATCCACCCTATTATATGCTATGCATTTATCTCATAAAGCCATCAAGACATCTGTGTTGTTATAACCTACTGTTTATTAAATAGGCAACTGTGGTTTAGAGAGGTTGATTAATTGGCTCATGACCCCGTAGTTAACAAAGTAGCTGACTCACAGTTAAACCATCAGCCTGCCTGGCTTCCAAATCTTTCTTTTGCTCCTCAGCATAGATGGATAAAGATCTGCACAGCAATTGGATCAAGATATATGTTAGAATCAGATTAATGAATACAGTCAAATCTAGTTATATGTTAACCCTCATTTAAGGATATTGTTAGAAATTAGGTTGGTCTAAGAGTTTGTCCTAATAAATTTGACAATTTTTTTTTTTTTTTTTTAATTGCTGTTTAGGAGACGGAGTTTTCACTCTTGTTACCCAGGCTGGAGTGCAATGGCGCGATCTCGGTTCACTGCAACCTCCGCCTCCTGGGTTCAGGCAATTCTCCTGCCTCAGCCTCCTGAGTAGCTGGGATTACAGGCATGCGCCACCATGCCCAGCTGATTTTTTGTATTTTCAGTAGAGACGGGGTTTCACTATGTTGACCAGGATGGTCTCGATCTCTTGACCTCGTGATCCACCCGCCTCGGCCTCCCAAAGTGCTGGGATTACAGGCTTGAGCCACCGCGCCCGGCCGACGATTTCAGTGGTAACCAATATCTTATTTTTACCATCAAAGGCCTTAGGGCAGTGGAAAGGTTTGGCCATAGGATTGTAAATTTTACAAAACCAAGATTAGACAAGTCTTAGAGAGAAATTATTTGACTTCCCAGGTTGATTTTTCCTTTAGGCTAGTATTTCTGCCTACTTCCACAATACTTTTTTTTTAGTCTTTTTTATTTCCTTTTTCAATGACATTTCTATAATCTTCTCTTGATGTTTTAAAGTGTTCTTCTCTGCTTTTGGTGTTTGTTTTGTTCTGTTATTTTTTTCAAATTCTGCTGGCTGTGTATCCCCAGTTCTCCTATAGACAATCAAAAGCTTTCAAAATTTTAAGGAATCATAGGACTAATTAAAATAACCTCTAATATTTCAATGTGTGTTAAACATTCTGGTCAAGTGTTTCTCTAGATCGAGAACCTGAAACTCAATTAGGATAGTTTTCTTTTTGGACATAGGAAGTGGCAGAAATGACATTTAAACTCATTTTAAAGCCCAGTATTCACCCTTCTTTTTTTATTTTATGGGCCTTTTTGTTGTTGTTGTTGTTTTTGTTGACAGAGTCTTGCTCTCTTGCCCAGGCTTGAGTGCAGTGGCGCAGTCTTGGCTCACTGCAACCTCTGCTGCCTGCGTTCTAGCGATTCTCCTGCCTCAGCCTTCCAAATAGCTGGGATTATAGCCAAACCATGGTGGCTCACACCTGTAATCTCAGCACTTTGGGAGGCTAAGGCAGGCAGATTATGGGGTCAAGAGATCCAGACCATCCTGGCCAAAATGGTGAAAATCAGTCTACTAAAAATACAAAACAAATTAGCTGGGCATTTTGGCGGGCGTCTGTAGTCCCACCCACTTGGGAGGCTGAAGCAGGAGATTGGGTGAACCCGAGAGGCAGAGGTTGCAGTGAGCCGAGATCACACCATTGCACTCTAGCCTGGTGACAGAGTGAGAGACTCTGTCTCAGATGATGATGATGATGATGATGTTACAAAGGAGTGAGTTTGGTGCACCCCAGTGGACAGAATGAGAATGAAATTAACTGGTGAACCCAATGGAAGTGGCTAAGAATAGAATGAGCAGGGGAAAGCCAAGTTTGAAGAGAAACAACACTGGATTGGATAGGAATACGGATTCTTCAGTAAGAGATCAGAATATTGGAGTATATGACAAGTTTAATAAAGATAAATTACAAAGAAGAAGAACACAAGATGTTGGGAATTTACAAAGACACATTAAAATAGAAGGTTCAATGGAGCTTTAAACAGGTTGCTGCTTTTTTTTTTTTTATCAATAACTGACAAACTTGAAAATTTTTACTGAAAGATGCTAAAACATTTTGAGACACTGGGGAGAGTCTCTACAGCAGATAGAAATGTGGTATCATGTGCTTCCATTCTGACTTAGAGAGGAGTGGCTTAGAGCTTCTTGAGTACTAGGGGTTGGAGATTGCTGAACTACATAGATCTGTAGCCCAGGGCAGGTGCCTCCTCACCTCTGCTTCTTTTCATAATTCACTGATAGCCCTCCAGTGTTCATGTAGGCTGGGTCAGGGGCATGATTGACTGGCCAGTCAGTCATGAAGTTCAGTTGGGTAACTGGAGGTGTGTCTATGCTGGGGGCAGTTGATGGAGACTCCAGTTAGCTTGTTATTCAGGAGCAGGGATGTAGACAGCTACTCCTGGTGATTTGAGGCCATCCTTTCAGGAATCTGTGTTTTCATAGATTGAAGAGTTGAATATTGGAGACTGCCAAAGTAGCCCTGCACAAGTGGAATCTGGAAGCCCATAGGAAGAAAGATATTTAGATAGTACTTAGGGAAATAGAGGTACAACTATCAGGACTGTTTTTCCAGCAGTCTCTCTTCTTGGATATCTGAGTGCCTATGAAGGTTTTTTTTGAGAGGGACGCTCACTCCGTCACCCAGGCTGGAATGCAGTAGCATGATCTCAGCTCACCACAACCTCTGCCTCCAGGGTTCAAGCAATTCTCCTGCCTTAGCCTCCCTAGTAGCTGAAATTACAGGTGTTTACCACCACGCCTGGTTAATGTTTGCATTTTTAGTGAAGACAGGGTTTCACCATGTTGGCCAGGCTGGTTTTGAGCTTCTGACTTCAAGTGATTTGCTCACCTCGGCCTCCCAAAGAGCTGGGATTTTAGGCGTGAGCCACCGCGCCCAGCCCTACCTGTGAAAGATTTAAGGGCTTCCTAGTTAATGTGGGCCTGAAAAAGGAAGGACGTACAGAGTGAATATAATTGAATTTTTATTATTGTTAATGTGTTAATCTTTCTGGGAAGTGTATTCTCAAAGAGAAAATACACCTTTGATATTAGACTTCTGTGCACTTAGCATTCACATATTTCAAATATTGCAGGTGATTCCCTGTACTGTTTTGGGACAAAGCAAAGCAATGGGATCTTCTTAAATGGTTTCTTTGCTGAGGAATCCAGACCACCAATTTGAAGTGACACAGATTAGTCTTTTAACCAGAGATAGACAATGGACAAGAAACAGTGGATCTTTCTACCTTGTTTTAGGTCATCAGGTTTCTTCCAGTTTAGATAACAAAAGTTGTGTCATTTATTAGTTGAATTTTAAGTACAACTTCAGGATAGATAATTTGTCAGGGTAAATTATCATCAGGCTCTGGTATATATTAGCTGTCACTATTTGTTATGCAGCTCAAAGTCAGTTTTCATTGAATATTGTATATATTTAGACAGGTAGAGGCAGAAAATAGGTAACCGAAATCTATTTTTAGAACAGAGCCATATCTTAATTATATGAAGAAACATTATTTAATATACAGATAGCTGACCTTTTCCCAGATAGTGTTTTTGTTTTTTGGAGGGAGAAGCTGAATATGAACCGGCAGTTAAAAATTTGTAAAGTAATCAACTTGCTCATTTTCATTGTATATTTTTGCTCTAAAGCATTTTCCACGAACTGTGTGTTGATCCATGCCCTAAGCCAGATGATGACAACTTGACTGTTACCACCAAGGTAAAGTGGCCTCTTGTAAAATTAATTTTCTCAGTCAAGTTTTGCATATTATTTACTTTTAAAATTTAGCAATGGTTTATCTATTTTTTTTTTTTTTTTTTTTTTTGAGACGGAGTCTCGCTCTTGTTACCCAGACTGGAGTGCAATGGCGTGATCTCGGCTCACCGCAACCTCGTCTCCTGGGTTCAGGCAATTCTCCTGCCTCAGCCTCCTGAGTAGCTGGGATTACAGGCACGTGCCACCATGCCCAGCTAATTTTTTGTATTTTTTAGTAGAGACGGGGTTTCACCATGTTGACCAGGATGGTCTCGATCTCTTGACCTCGTGATCCACCCGCCTCGGCCTCCCAAAGTGCTGGGATTACAGGCTTGAGCCACCGCGCCCGGCGGTTTATCTATTTTTACTGTTGGTAATACAAAGTTGGTCAGAGAAAAGTATAGACATGGCTAGTTGATTTAAAAAATGTGTTTAACCTTGTTAACTAACAAAAGATTGATTAAGTACTGTGACGGAGTGAGGGCTGAAAGAAAATGAACTGGAGGTCAGCCGTGGTGGCTTACGCCTGTAATCCTAGCACTTTTGAGGCCAAGGCGGGCGGATCACGTGAGGTCAGGAGTTCAAGATCAGCCTGACCAACATGGTGAAACCCTGTCTTTAAAAATGAAAATAAATAAACAAATAAATAAAATGAACTGGAAAATACATAGGTGACAGGAGAATCACATTAGAAAATGCTTTCCCCAATAAAGGAAATACAAAATTTGGTTAAGGTTTATATGGATAAATGTTAATGTTGGCTTTTAAATCATACTAGTGTTGCTTTCATAATATTTATGCCTGTATAAATCTTCAGTGAATCAAATTACTTATAGTTATCATGGAATCTCCCTGGTACATTTTATTGGCAAAACTGTACAGCACATAGCATATATCTTTTTTTGGACACTTATTATTTTGGTATCATATAGTTTTTAGGAGAGATTTTTTTTTCTACTTATTAGTTCTGTAGTGAGACTAAAATAATATTAAAATTTGTAGAAAACTAGCTGAGTATGGTGGTGTACACCTGTAGTCCTAGCTATTTGGGGGTTTGAGGCAGGAGGATTGCTTGAGCTCCAGATGAGAACAGCCTGGGCAACATAACCAGATTGTATCTGCTTTAAAAATATAAATTGTAGAAATTTCAATTTATGTTATCAAAATTTGTATTACAAATGGGTTTTTGTGTGTTTTATAAGTTGTCCATAAAGGGTATATGTAAAACATTTCATCTAATGAATAACATGTATTTTGCTGCAAATAAACCAGTTATATAAGCAGACTCAATACCAATATGGTAAGACTTTAACACCATAATTTTGTCATTGTAGTTTATTTAAAATATCCACTCAAAGTCTTTATATTACATTCGGAAATTGAAAATTTCAGAAATTTTTACACTTAGTTGTTTAAATAATCATTTGAAGTTGGTAGTAGCATACTATGAGCTACTGGAGGTCATAGACATATTTGTGTGTATCCTGGAGTACCTGGCATACAGTCTTCCATGTAAGAAGCATTGTAATTGTTGCTTTTTCAAGATGGAGTTTCACTCTGTCACCCAGGCTGGAGTGCAGTGGTGGGATCTTGGCTCACTGCAGTCTCCTGGCCTCAGGTAATCCTCTCACCTCAGCCATCCAAGTAGCTGGGACTGTAGGTCTCTGTCACTTGTATTTTTTGTAGAGATGGTGTTTTGCCTTGTTGCCCAGGCTGGCCTTTAACTGTTGGACTTACATGATATGCCTTCCTCAGCCTCTCAAAGTGCTGGGGTTACAGGCATGAGTTGCCACATTGAGCCTTAATAGTTGTTTAATCTGAATAAATAGATGAATAAATTTTTATATAATGAAATGTTATAAGTAATATACATAATGTATCTATTGATTAAATACTGCAGTTAAAAATATTGCTTATATTTGTATTATTTTTAATGTTTCAGCATGTATAAGTTTTGATGTGTTATTTTGAGAAACTATGCCATAAATAAAAAGGAAATAAATTAGAAATAGGTCATTAATAACAAAGAGGGTTACAACATATTTTCTGGTGTAATTCAAATGGAGTCTTAGATTATGATTTTAGACTAAAATTTCTTAAACATTTTATTAGCCCCAACTCACGCTGTAATAAATATGCCTTTATAAGTCATGCATTACTCTTTAGAATTCCGGTGACCACTTCTTTCTCTAGGTGGAAAGTTGACAGAAAGTTCTAGTTTTCCCTCTCTGTAATAATGACTGTCTTTCAGGTAGTGGTAGATGACCATGGCTAGCTAATTGAATGTTTTATAGTAATAAAATTAAACTCTGTATCACAGAAATATTTTTTAAAAACTTATTGGAGCATAAGAATTAACCTGTATTGTTAGGGCTATAAAGGAACAAAAGGCTGTGTTATATATCTGTTTCTCCGTGTACTTTATTGTACATCATGTTGTTTCTTTTCTCTCTTGGCTGAAGCTCATACTAAATTGACTAGTTAGGCTTTTTTGTTGTTTCTTCCTTCATCCTTACATTTTTAAAATAATTTATCCCCACCTAATTTTTTTCTCACAGATCTCATTTCTTTTTTGAGACAGAGTTTCGCTCTTGTTACCCAGGCTGGAGTGCAATGGCGCGATCTCGGCTCATCGCAACCTCCGCCTCCTGGGTTCAGGCAATTCTCCTGCCTCAGCCTCCTGAGTAGCTGGGATTACAGGCACGCGCCACCATGCCCAGCTAATTTTTTTTTTTTTTGTAGTTTTAGTAGAGACGGGGTTTCACCATGTTGACCAGGATGGTCTCGATCTCTTGACCTCGTGATCCACCCGCCTCGGCCTCCCAAAGTGCTGGGATTACAGGCTTGAGCCACCGCGCCCGGCCTTATTTCTTTAGTGACTGGTCTTTCAGTCCATCTATGTCTTTATTGTCAGCAAATTTAGTTACAGCTTTCTCTTTAGTTATCTACGTGTGGCTTTCATTTAACAATTATTGGCCACAAGATTTACTCTTTTTTTTTCCTTTTCTTTGGAAAAGCTGAATTTATACACTTATCTTTATCTTTTTGACAAACAGAATAAAAGCAACTAATACTATGTGCAATGCCAACCCACTTAAATAAGGTACCACTATAAATTCTCATTTTCCCCCACAAGAAGTGATTTATGCAAATAATTACCTCCTGCATATGCCCATAATGCATTTTCTTGTGTTTAGCTCATAATTAATAATTATGTGATAAGTAAATTACTGCTTGTAGTATAATTCTGCTAATTTGCATGATTGATTTAAGAATCAAGTGTAGTATAGTGCCACAAAAATAAAGTTTAGAATGTGCAAAAAATCACTTCCTGTTCTGAAAATGTTTATCTAAAATCTAAAGAATTATTTCAGGTTAAGTTGTGGCCAAATTTATGATTCTGTGGTATATCAAATGTGCAAAATCATAAGGAGGGTTAGAGAGAAACAGTTTCGATTGTAGTTTTTCTGTTTTTTTTTTTTTTTTTTTTTTTTGAGATGGAGTTTCGCTCTTGTTACCCAGGCTGGAGTGCAATGGCACGATCTTGGCTCACCGCAACCTCTGCCTCCTGGATTCAAGCAATTCTCCTGCCCCAGCCTCCCGAGTAGCGGGGACTACAGGCATGCGCCACCATGCCCAGCTAATTTTGTTTGTATTTTTTTTGTAGAGACAAGGTTTCACCATGTTGACCAGGATGGTCTTGATCTCTTGACCTTGTGATCCACCTGCCTTGGCCTCCCAAAGTGCTGGGATTATAGACATGAGCCACTGCGCCCGGCCTTCAATTGTAGTTTTTATTGAAATTGGAACTTGAAAAGATAATGCTGCGATTTTAGTAAGTTTATATATTTTCATTGTCCAATATAGATCTACAGTGAACATTTTTGGTTAAAGAAAAAAACACGGAGAGTAGTAACTATGTGGGACTGTAACAACAACAATTTAGTTTAGTGTTGTAGTAAGTGGAAGTCATTTTCAAAAACAGAACACACTGAGTACTTTTGTGGCAGCCACTCTTATAGCAGCAGACGTATAAAATAATAATGGTGTATTCTAATGTTACGACTGTGGAGAGAAATGGGAGGGATGTGACTTTTCACTAGAAGCAGCTGGTACATAGTTTTATCAGCACCAGTAGAAGTCTAAAGACATGTTAGCATCCTGGTTCTGCCACTTACTAGGTATGGGACCTTGGGAAAAATTCTTTATTTGATTGTCATTGACCTCATTCATAAAAATGATACTAATGATACCTCTCAGTTATGTGTAAGGAACAAAAGTAGTGGGAAATGTAAAAACATTTGTAAACTGGAAAATATGTTTGCACATGTGAGACAAAATGATCATAGCAGTATTCAGTGATTTAATAAAACTCGAGGGAAATTTTTGTAAACCTGAAAGATGATAAAATGGCAATAGCATCAAGAAAACAACGGGAAAGGAGGAAATGGCATGGGGATTTTAAATTTGGGGTAGGGGTGTGTTCAGTTTCAGCAGGCTACTATGACTGAAGATGTCCTGCAGGAACATAGCAGTTTGGAACATGAGACTTTCTGATGAAATTTTAAGTGTTTGGACCTAGAATTTATTTTGGTTATAGATCGCAAACTGTGCTACTCAGTGAGACACTGAATATACAAGATGAGATCTTATGCTATAGTAGTAGGAACAGAAAAAGAAAGAGCAAATACTTCTCACTATAAATGCTTTCTATGAAGAAAACAGAAAATGTTTGAAGTTATCAAGGAAGTGTGTAGTTAGGATGGGAATGGGAGAGGAATGGAAATCTGCGGTCAGAGAAGACCTCTCTGAGTATGGTATTTAAGCTGCCAACTAAAGGATGACATCCAGCCATGTGAAAGTCTAAGAGGAAGAAATTCTGAATGGAGACAACAAAGAATCCCATCTATTCATCATTTTGCCCTTAACACTCTGGAAATGGCAGAAAGCCGTCATCATAATTATTTTTTATGATTACAGTATGTACAACAAATGTGAAATTGAATCCTGGCACATTTTAGATGCTTCCTATTCTTTTTTTTTTTTTTTTTCCTTTTAAAGAAAGCTTGTTCACCTTTTGAAGTTCATTCTTTCTTTCTCTCTCTTTTCTTTCTTTCTCTTCCTTTCCTTTTCTTCTTTTCTTTTCTTTCTTGACAGAGTCTTATTCTGTTGTCTGTGCTAAAGTGCAGTAGTGCGATTTCAGCTCACTGCAGCCTTGACCTTCCAGGGTAATATGATCCTTCCATCTCAGTCTTCTGAGTATCTGGGATTCCAGGCATGCACCACCATGCCCAGCTAATTTATGTGTCTTTTGTACAGATAGGGTTTGACCATTTTTCCCAGGCTGGTTTAAAACTCCTGGGCTCAAGCGATCCACCCACCTTGGCCTCCCAAAGTCTTAAGATTAAAGGTGTGATCCATTGCTCCTGGCCTGATGGATGCAGCCAATCACCATGGCACGTGTATACACCTATGTAACGAACCTGCATGTTCTGCACATATACCCCAGAACTTAAAGTATAATAAAAAAATAAATAAAATACTCAGTTGATCACATATTTGCTTGCTTTTATTTAAATATAACAAATTTTATTACTACATTATCATTCTATTCAACCATTTTTTCTATCAGTAAAGATTTTATCAAAAAATATGTAGGTTTTTTTCAAGTCTTTGTTTACCTAAATGAAGCATCTTCTATGGTGTTCTATTGATGCTCAATGTCACATATTTCCAAATTTCCTATCATAAATATCTTGACACAAATATTTATGAGGATATTTAAATTTTTAAAATATTGTAAGTATTACACCAAGTAATATGTATATTATATATATTTTATATGTGTGTATGTATGTGTGTGTATACATAAGCTTTCGAGATGGAGTGTTGCTCTTTCACCCAGGCTGGAGTGCAGTGGCACAATCTAGGCTCCCTGCAACGTCTGCCTCCCAGGTTCAAGTAACTCTCCTGCCTCAGCCTCCCAAGTAGCTGGGTTTACAGGCGTTTGCCACCACACCCAGCTAATTTTTGTATTTTTTAGTAGAGACGGGGTTTCACCGTATTGGCTAGGATGGTCTCAATCTCTTGACCTCATGATATGCCCGCCTCAGCCTCCCAAAGTGCTGGGAATACAGGCATGAGCCACTGTGATCGACTACCAATATGTACTTTTTAAATGTTTTCCTATTTTTGGTGGAGATTGCAAAATAGAGTTAGGTACTTTGAAGCTAGTTCCTGCCTGAAATATGCACATGCTAATATTTTGTCTGTGAATATGTTTCCTTCTGGTTGCCATGCTTGGATAAGCAAGTCAATGGACATATGAAGGTAACAGATGAGCCTGATCTAGAAAGTGTAGGTAACATTCTCTACTGGAATGCTTTGGTTTCAGTACATGCTTCTGTTATTTTTTAAGTCAAATTAGTTTTAAAATACTAAGTTGAAATTTCGGGCGAGACAGAGTCTTGCTCTGTTGCCTAGGCTTGAATGAAGTGGCATGATCTTGGCTCGCTACAATCTCCACCTCCCAGGCTCAAGTAATCCTCCCACAACAGCCTCCCAAGTAGCTGGGACTACAGGTACACACCACAATGCCTAACTCATTTTGTTTGTTTGTTTTTGTAGAGATAGGTTCTCATTATGTTGCTCAAGCTCGTCTTGAATTCCAAGCTCAAGCAATCCACCTACCCTGGTTTTGCAAACAGCTGGGATTATAAGAGTGAGCAACCAAGCTTAGGTAAACTGAGATTTATTTAAGTAAATTGATTAGTGCTTAGTGTGGTGGTGCACATTGGTTATGTCGACACTTTGGGAGGCAGAAGTGAAAGGATTACTTAAGACCAGGAGTTTGGGCCAGGCCCAGGGGCTCACACCTGTAATCCCAGCACTTTAGGAGGCAGAGGTAGATGGATGATGCGGTCAAGAGACCGAGACCATCCTGGCCAACATGGTGAAACCCCATGTCTACTAAAATACAAAAAAAAAAAAAAAAAAAAAAATCAGCTGGGTGTGGTGGCATACACCTGTAGTCCCAGCTACTCAGGAGACTGAGGCTGGAGAATTGCTTGAACCCCGGAGGCAGAGATTGCAGTGAGCTGAGATCATGCCACTGCATTCCAGCCTGGCACCTGGTGACAGAGCGAGACTATGTCTCAAAAAAAAAAAAAAAAAAAAAAAAAAAAAAAAACCCACAACACCAGGAGTTTGAGACCAGCCTGGGCAATATAGTAAGATCTTGTCTCTACAAAAATAACAATAAAAAAGTAGCCTAGCATGATGGTACACAGCTGTAGATTCAGCTACTGAGGAAGTTGAAGTGGAAAGATTGCTTGAGGTTGGGAGGTTGAGATTGCAGTGAGCCATAATCATGCCATACATTCCAGCCTTCAGTAACAGAGACACTGTTTCAAAAAAGAAAAAAAATTGATAAGAAAGTCTTTATGCAACTCATAATTTTTTAAATGGAAACTCATGCTTGATATTACCTCAGCAGCGTGTCCCTGTAGAAAGTGTCAGAGCCTTTACCTGGACCTGCCAATGGAAAAACAAAACAACAAACAACAACAACAAAAAACACAGTATAGTTAATGTAAAACAAGGTAAGAATACTATTTTATTTAAAACGTCATTTGATGGAATTTTTTTTAATAAAATATGAGCACTAATATATACAAATAGCTAAAGAAAATGTTCTATTAAATGTATAATAAGTAAAGGAGAAGTAAAAAGGTGATAAGTTGTGTATCTAAACAGGGGTCAGCAGTTGAGTCTATTGAAAGTACCACTAAAGGAGCTGAATTATTAGTTCCCATTTTAAGATATTCTAAGATCTGAGGAAAGTCAGGAAAGACGGAAGAGAAAATGAATAAAGAGAAAGAATAAGGAGGGCAGAGTGTACATGGAATAAATGAAGAAACAGCATGCGGGTATATGTAAAGGAAGGTAGTAAAGTCAAATTGATTTTCAGAAGAAGAGCACAGTGATAGAAATAGGAAAGAAGGCAACATCAGCTTCCAGCACCAAAATGTGTCAGAGAATTAGAGTCACATCTTCCTGCTCTTGCGGTCATTCTCACTATTGGAGAGAGATTAAGGATTGAGGTACCTCACCACACAGACCTGTGTTTTATCTACCATCGATGAGTATCACCATAAATGGGCAGTCATGTATGGCCATAATTTAGTTTTATAGAAAATGTTGTAACTTCATCAGATAGTATCATATAAGCAAAATTGACATAATTGAATAGTGTCATGTGATTTATGGAGAGGAAGTTAGAGAAGGTATAGCCTGATTAAAAATTTATTAAAAACATTATGGCTTATAATGCAGAATTAAATTCAGGAATTTAATGGGGAAGAAATTGAGGGTAAGTTCCAGATGGGCAATTAAGGTAAACAAATGTGGAAGCACATAGGTATAGAACAGGGCATCCAAATTTTCATGCATTAGTTGAGGAGCTTCTGGAAAATGGACATTCTCATTCAGCATGTGTGGGATTCTGCCCTTCTCAGGAGTACTCAGGAGTACTCAGGTCGTGTTGGTGCTATTCCTTGGACACAGCTCTGAATAACAAGGAAATAGCCCTCCTTTAGAGAAATCTGGGAAAAGAGCCATTGGACAGCAATTTAAAAAAATAACAGAATCAAGGGAAGGCATTAATCTCCTTTTATTTCTGAAGTAGGATTCTAGCCACACAGGAAGCAGAAGTTTGGTGTATACTACTGCTGAATACAGATGAAAAAAAGTCATGACAATTATCCATAAAAAGCAGTTAGGAAGTGAAGCATCAGGATGACAGATCTAAAGATTTCTTTTGCAAAGGAGGAGGGATTGTGAAAGGGCAAGGAGAGGGGAAGAAAAAAAGTTTGTTGGGGGACTTTGGAGTTAAAACCAAGGAAGCTTGAGACACCTCACTTCCAGTTCCTTGGGCATATGCCCAGTCTAGCAAAAGCAGTTATTGCTGTGGAGATTACTGGAGGCAGGAGGGAGTGCTAGAATTGGGGTAAACCATAGCAGCTAATTTCTCTTCATAGCTGTCAGGCCTCAGAGCAAGAAGTTTCATTGACATGAGTGAATAAGATGTGATTAAATTGCATTTTGGCTAATTTTGGGGGGGTCAGCCTGTTCTTTGATATGATAGCTGTTTTATAAAAGTCATTTACAGAGTAAGATGACATGCCAAACTTAGCTAATTTTAGAAGCAGTCATATAAAATTTATTCTGTGACTACCAAAATTGTCATTTTTTTTTTCAAAATTGTCATTTTCTAAGAACAATGCACTGATCTTGAAATATAAAAGTTTATTCTTTTCTATCAAGTCTGTGGCAATTCAATGTTTTCTCTTTTGATAAATACTTTGATACCGAAAGCTTATTCTTTCTGGTTTATTTGATGTGTTTTAAGTCTTGCATGAGTGGATCAAGGAACTCTTAAGAAAAGGTCAAATGAGAGGATATGAGAAATGTAGGTGCTTCAGTAGCCACGTGGGCATGGGAAAATGAGAATTTTGAGAAACTTATTTCATAAGTGTATATCACAGCTGATCAATTTAGAACACTTTCTTTGATGAGAGGTGAATCACACATTCACCTGAACTGGCATGCCAACTGTGTATTTCCTAAGTGACAGGACAAGGGGAAGCACGTGATAAATATTTGTGGTGTTCTGGCATCAATGCCTGTGATGTTTCAAGTTTAATTACTCTGTAGCATTCACCATTAGCCTTGATGTTGATTCTCTCAGGTTATGATTTGCTCCACTGTTTAATGGTCCCTTTTATCCTTATCAGCCCAACGTGTTCACATTAATATCCATACTTTTCTATTTTAGTTATAGGCATTTGAAACAATCTCACTTTTGAAATATAAACTTTGTGATTTAGGGATCCTATATTCCCATTTTACTCAGTATATTTCCATCACGTTGCTGTCCTAGGCAATGAAAAGAAGATGCCAAAAAGAACCCTCAAAACCTTAAGTAATTATTTTCATAGCCAGGCATGAGGACTCAGCTTGATACTAACACTGCATGAATATTTGGTTGGCCCTGTCATACCTACATATAATTGATGACATGTCCCCTTTGCTTTGTAGGGCCTCCTGAATAACATCCTTCCTTGAAGGTAATTATATATATTTATTTTTAATTACTAACTTTATATTGTATAAAATATATCTGATTATTTTCTTTTAAAACCCATTCAGCCTACCACTGAAATGGAAGATCTTGTTGTGAGAGATGCAGTACAAAGAAAGAATGTACAGACATTGAGAACAGGTATAGTTTCAATACAAATGGAATGCTGGAACTAAGTACATTAAACGATTGGAAGTACTCATATTCTTCTTACCCCTAATTTTTTTTATTCTAAATTGAATGGAAGGCATTGACATAAATGTTACTGTTAGTATCCATATTTCAATAAAAATAAATTTAAAAGTATAAGAAAATAAGATTTTTAAAATAGGAGTTTTAACTTGGATGTTTCCATTTTAATATTTTGAATAGCATTAACATTTCCAATATGGAATTTTTATACTTGTCGAGGATTCAAAGCAGTGAACTTTGAGACTCTGAGATATTTCCAGTGTCTTAGTGCTAGTTGGAGTTCTGGTATTTACTTAAAGGAATGTTTTACTTAGATTTCAGTTTCTGTATTAACTTTAGAGACTTCCCGTTAATGCTATTACACCTATGATCTAAAGCCAATGAAATGTCCTAATGAGCAGACTGTGTATGCATGTGTGTGTATGGGTGTGTTTGTGGCATCTTTAATTATCAAAAACTAGGAAAGTAATCATTCATTCATAACTAGAAGACAGTCTTTTAAAATGGTGGTTTTGAGACTTTGTTATAAGTTGTTTTTTTTTAATAATTGCATAGAGACAACATCATGAACATCACTGAGACTACCAACATCATTTGCTGTTTTCCATTTCAATACCCTTTTGAAATCCTTAACTATATTGTGATGCTCAGAAATAATATGCAGAATTTTTATGTGTCCTATATCTACACTTTACATATTTTTCTGCCACTTTCTTTTGTGTACTTTGTATTATATTTTCCAGATGTATCCACATTGATATGATTAGCTCTGGTTTAATTCATTTTACACGTTTCATTGTATTCCCTTATGCCATTCTACCACATTTAATTAGACTCTCCTATTCCTGATAAATGAAGAAAGAAAAAAAAAGGAAAAGAAAAATAGGCTGGACGTGGTGGCTCACACCTGTCATCCCAGCACTTTGGGAGGCTGAGGCAGGTGGATCATGAGGTCAGGAGAACGAGACCATCCTGGCCTACATGGTGAAACCCCATCTCTATTAAAATATAAAAAATTAGCTGGGTGTGGTGCCGCATGCCTGTAGCCCCAGCTGTACGGGAGGCTGAGACACAGAAATCACTTGAACCTGGGAGGCAGAGGTTGCAGTGAGCCAAAATTGCACCACTGTACTCTAATCTGGCAGCAGAGCAAGACTGTCTCCAAAAAAAGGAAAAATAATGCCAGATTAAAAGGGGCTTTTGTTTAATCAGTTTGTATCTGTGAATATTTACTATATCAGGGTTTAAGGCTGAAAAGTTCAGAATGCAAGCATGTACTACCATATTTTACAAATGCCCTTAGAATTATGACTCATGAGCCTTTAGCCTATGAAGTTTTGACAATTCATTTCTCTAAAGAAGTTTACTGTTAGGCCGGGCGCGGTGGCTCAAGCCTGTAATCCCAGCACTTTGGGAGGCCGAGGCGGGTGGATCACAAGGTCAAGAGATCGAGACCATCCTGGTCAACATGGTGAAACCCCGTCTCTACTAAAAATACAAAAAAAAAATTAGCTGGGCGTGGTGGCGCGTGCCTGTAATCCCAGCTACTCAGGAGGCTGAGGCAGGAGAATTGCCTGAACCCAGGAGACGGAGGTTGCGGTGAGCCGAGATCGCGCCATTGCACTCCAGCCTGGGTAACAAGA